CTAAAGGTACAAATTAGTTACATAAAGAAATGATCCAACTCCTGGTCCCATGATCCCCATTCCTGCCACCGTGTCCTCTCTCTCCCAGCCTGTACATATGGCCTCATGAAGAGCATTCTCGATGTTTAGCTACCACTTATAAGTGAGAACATGTGATACTTGGTTTTCTGTTTCCATGTTAATTCACCTAGGATAATAGCCTCTAACTGTAATGATATTGCTGAAAAGGAAATAACTTCATCCTTTTTTTGGTTATGTAGTATTTTGCGGTGCATGGGTACTGTTTTTTTTGTTATTTTGTATGTGTGTTTTTTTGAGACAGGGTCTCGCTGTGTCACTCAGGCTGGAGTGCAGCAGCATGAGTTCAACTCACAGCAGCCTCTGCCCTGGGCTCAAGCAGTCCTCCCATCTTGGCCTCCTAAGTAGCTGGTATTACAGGCACACACCACCATGCCTGGCTATTTTTTGTGTGTGTGTATTTTGAGAGAGGAAGAGGAGACTTAGGCATGGTTTCTATACAGTTCTGTATGACATTCTGGCACCATCCTAAAATGGACACCTGTAGCACTTCAGCCTCTTTCTGGGGTATTTCTAAAGGACAGTGGTGAAGAAAATTCTTTGCAGTGGATAGAATCTCGAGAAGTGTAACTGGTTGTTCACTTCGCTTGGAATGAAAATGGCCAGATGTGTGATTATTACCAATTTTATTGCCAAGGAACATGATTGAAAAACTGGACAAAAAAGAAAATGGGGAAAGAGATATATGCAAAGACCTCTCTGAATAGGCACATTTATCTTGAAGATCTTTGTCTTCCATGTGAATTCTCACAAAAGGATGACCTTAGAAGAAGATATAATAATCAGGTAGATAGGATGACTTCTTTTGCAGCTAACAATCAGCCCTGTTCTGCAGTCACTGCTGTCATTGTCCAATGGGTTCACGAACACAATGCTCATAGTGGCAGGGATGACGCTTACGCATGAGCTCTGCAACATGAACTTTCACTCACTGAGGCTGACTTGGCTATGGCCACTGCTGGGTGCCCAGTCTGCCCGCATGAAAGACCAACAGTGAATCTTTACCATTATCACATCTGGGGTGGCCAGCCAGCTACCTAGTGACAGGTGGATTATATTGGACTATTTCCATCATGAAAGGAACAGCATTTTGTTCTTAAAAAAATTTTAAATTTAAATAATTTTTATTTGTATAAATTTAAGGGGTACAAATGAAATCCTGTTACATGGATATACTGTGTAGTGGTGAAGTCTGGACTTTTAGTGTATTCATGAATCAAATAATATTTATTGTACCCATTAAGTAATTTCTCATCGTCCAATGCCCTATCATTGCTTCATCTTTCTGAGTCTCTAATGTCTATCAATCCACAGTCTATGTCTGTACATACATATTATTTAGTTCTCACTTATAAGCGAGGACATGTGGCATTTGTCTTTGTTTCTGAATTGTTTTACTTCAAATAATGGCTTTCAGTTTTATCCACGTTATACCAAAATAAATAGTTTTTATTTTTAACTGCTGAATTGTAATTCAGTGTTTAGGTAACATATATTATAAATATGTTACATTACTTAAAATATAATTTAAAAGAAATTACATTATCTGTTAATATATTCTTTGAATAGAATATAATTTAAAAGAAAATATATTACATTTCCTTTATCCAATCATCTGTTGATGGACACTTAGGTTGATTGCAAGTGCATATTACATAATGGTAAGGTTTGTGTTTCTATTGATCCTCTCACCCATGTAATGAATATAGCACCCTAAAGGAAGTTTTTTAACCCTTTCTCTCCCTCCACTCTCCCCCCTTTGGGATTCCTTAGTGTCTATGTTTCGCATATTTGTTTCTCCATGTACTCAGTGTTTAGCTACCACTTATAAGTGAGAACATGTGATATTTGGTTTTCTGTTTCAGTGTTAATTCACTTAGGAGAATGGCCTCTAACTGCATCTACTTTTCCCCAAAGGTCATGATTTCATTCTTTCTTTGGCTATGTATAATTTTGAGGTGTATATGACAGCGTCTTGCTCTGTCATGCAGGCTGGAGTGCAGTGGCATGATATCTGCTCACTGCACCCTCTACAGCCAGGCTCAAGTGATTCTCTGACCTCAGCCTCCTGAGTGGCTGGGACTATAGGCACACACCCTGAGGCCAGTCTTTGTGAGTGTGAGTGTGTGTGTGTGTGTGTGTGTGTGTGTGCATTTTTAGTAGAGACAGGGTTTTGCTATGTTGTCCAGGCTGGTCTCGAATGCCTAAGCTCAAGAAATCCCCCTGGCTCAGCCTCGCTAAGTCCTGGGATTACAGGTGTAAGCTATTGCTCCCTGCCTACCACATTTTCTTTACGCAGTTCACCATTTGGTGGGCACCTAGGTTGGTTGCCTGTCTTTGCTATTATGAATACTGCTATCATAAGTATATCAGTGCAAGTGTCTTGTTTATATGATGGTTTCTTTTCATTTGGGTAGATAATAGAGAGAATTTCTGGGTTGAATGGTTCCAGTTTTAGTTATTTGAGGAATATTCATACTGTTTTTTTCATATAGGTTGTACTAATTTACATTTCTACAGTGTATGAGTATTCCCTTTTCTCCTCATCATCACCAACGTCTGTTGTCTTTTTAATAATTGCCATTCCAATTGGTGTAAGATTATATATCATCGTGGTTTGATTTGCATTTCTTTCATGTTAGTGATGTTGAGTTTTTTACATGCTTGTTGTCCATTTCTACGTCTTCTTTTGAAAATTTTCAATTCATGTTCTTTGCAAACTTTTTAATGGACTTATTTGTGGGTTTTCTTTGTTGAGTTGAGTTCCTTGTAAATTCTGCATAATAGTCCCTTGTTGGATGGGTAGTTTACATATAGTAAACTATGGCAATCCAATTTTTTTAGGACTGGTTATTGAAAAGAGTGTTCTTTCTCTAGTGTATGTTCTTGTCAAATTTGTCCTTTTTGAAATGGATACTTATCCTGGATCTGTACTTGCTTTTCCTGCACACAATGCTGCTGAAGAACTTCCTTTTGTGAGTTTTCAGAGTGTCTTATGACTGCACGCTGTCACACACAGTGTTTCTGATCAAGAAATTCACTTTACATCAAAAGAAGTAAGATGATGGACATAGTCTCAAGGAACTCATAGGTCTCACCATGTTCCGCAGGGTCCTGAGGCAGCTGGTTGATAGAATAGTGGAATGGCCTTTCATACTCAGTTATAGTTCTAGCTAGGTGGCAATATCTTGCAGGGCTAGGGCATGGTTCTCTAGAAGGCTGAAGATGCTCTGAATCATCATTCACTATATGGTGGTATTTCTCCCTTAGCCAGGATTTCTGGGCCCAGAAATTATGGGGTGGAAATAGAAGTGGCATCACTAATTATTATGCCAAGCAACTTGCTAGCAATATATGTTTTCCTATTTCCAAGACCCTGTGCTCTGCCTGGAACTTATGCTTAGGCTAGAGGTTCCAGTGGGAGATATCCTTTCATCAGGAGACACAACAATGATTTCATTAAACTGAAAGTTAAGACTGCCACCTGGTCACTTTCGGATTCTCATGTCTCTGAGTCGATAGAACAAGAAGAAAGTTAAGGTGCTAGCTGGGGTGATTGTTCCACACAATCAAAGAGAAACTGAGCTATTGCTGTATGATGGAAAAAAGGAAGGATAGATGTGAAGATACATGTGATCCCTTAGGGTATCTTTTAGTGTTACCATGGCCTGTACTTAAGAGCAATGAAAAACTAGAACAATTGAATTCAGCCAGGACTACTGATGGCCTAGACACTTCAGAAATGAAGATTTGGATTATGCCGCCAGGAAGAGAACAGTGACCAGCTGAAGTGCTTGCTGAAGGCAGAGTGAACGGGTAGTGGAAGAAAGTAGTTATAAATACCAGTTGCAACATGACCGGTTACAGAGAAAATAATTATAATTTGCATATTTCCTCATTTTTTCATAGATATGTACATTCATATATGTATAAAATATCTGTTTTTTAACTATCTTATTCTCATATCAAGTAACATAAACTATATTGACTTTGTCATAATATGTGTGTATTATTAATTTGTATATCACAGTCTTTACATTACAAGGTATCAAGAGAGAAGTAAATATCATTTAAGATATTCACCTCCTCTTTAATGAAAGTAGATGTGAGTTTTTGGTTGTATGCTAGATAGATATATTATGCTAGTCAGAACTATGGTGTTGCAATTTTTTTTATTGGAAATTAAGTATGGTTTAAGGAGGTGTATATGGATCCTGTGTCAGGCTGTTCTTTTCTTGCTATAAAGAAATACCTGAGACTGGGTAATTTATGAAGAAAAAAGGCATAATTGCCTCATGGTTCCGCAGGCCATCCAGGAAGCAGGGTCCCAGCATCTGCTAAGCTTCTAGGGAGGCCTCTGGGAGCTTTTATTCAAGGCAGACGGTGAAGTCCGAGCTTGCAAATCACACAGAGGGAGCAGAAGCAAAGGCAAGGAAGTGTCACACACTTTTATATCATCAGATCTTGTGAAAACTCATTCACTATTGCAGACAGTATAAAACCAGAAGGGATTTGCCTCGATGATCCAAATATCTCCCAGCAAACCCCACCTCAAATATTGGAGATTACAATTCAATATGAGATTTGGTGGGGACATACATTCAAACTGCATCTGATCCCAAGTTGAATGCAGGGTGAACTTATGATGGTTAACTTTATGTCAACTTGACCGGGATGGTGAATACTTAAACATTATTTCTAGATGTGCCAGTGAAAATGTTTCATGATAAAACGAGCATGTAATTCTGTGAACTGAGTAGAGCATATTGCCCTCCACAGTATGGATGGACATTATTCAATCTGTTGAAGTCCTAAAAGGTGGAGAAGGAGAAATTAATTTTCTCTGCTTGATTGCTTGAACTGGAACATTAGTCTTCTGTCCTCAAAGGGGACTTACATCACAAGCTCTCTGATTTTCACAGCTACACCTCCAGCTTCCCTAGATCTCTGGCTTGCAGACTGCAAATTGTGAAATTTTTCAGCCTCCACAATGGCATGAACCAATTTCTTATAATAAATTATCCATCTATCTAGATGGACCGACAGAAATATCCTATTTCTTCTGCATCTCTGAAAACTGTGAGTAATATACCATATATTTATGGATTATTGGAATTTGATTCCATTCTACTGATCTGTTTTTTAAAAAATATATGTTTTTAATAATACTCTCTCGATTACTATAGCTATATAATAAGTCTTGAAATCACATAGTGTATTTATTCTTCGCTCTTTCTCATAGTTATTTGGCTATTCTATGTGCTTTCTTTTTTCATGTGATTTTAAAAAGTTGTTTGAGTATATAAAATATACCTGCCAGGTTTTTGATTGGAAGGATATTTAAAGGGAACTGACATTTTAAAAATGTTGAGCATTGTAGTCCATGAACATGATGTAACTCATTTGTATTTAGATATTTCTTATATTTCCTATTTTTTGATATAAAAATTTTTATTTCTGTAAGGTTCACCTTTGTAGAGCTTTTCAAATATATTTCCAGTAGACTTCTTTATCACTGAAAAAGGTCTGGTATGGTTTGAATGTATGGGTCCCTCCAAAATTCATGTGGAAACTTAAGCCCCACCTATGAAGAGGTGGGGTCTCTGCAGGGTAATTAGGCCATGAGGGCTCTGCCTTCATCAATGAGATTAATTTGGCTCTTCCGTATGGCTCTTCTGCCATGTGAGGACACAGCAACAAGGCACCATCTTGCAAGCAGAGATCCTTCACCAGATATCAAGCCTTGATCTTGGATTTCCCAGCCTCTAGGACCACCAGAAGTAAATTTCTATTGTTTATATATTAGCACAAAGGAACTAAGATAATGTCTCAACTCTCCAAGGCCTTGACAGTGAACATATTTCCTATTTTTTTTTCAGACATGGAGTTTCCCAGTGTTGCCCAGGCTGAAGTGAAGTGGTTATTCACAGGTGTAATAATCATGCACTACAGCCTTGAGATCTCGGCCTCAGGCATATCCTTTTTCCTCAGCTTCCCAAGTACCTGGGACTGCAGACATGTGCCACTGTGCCTGTCCAGATATTATTCCTTAAGTTCTATCAGTAATTTGTTGAAATTTTCAACTTAAATTTTACACACATATTTGTCAGATCTTTTTCTGTTTCTTACTTTTGATGCTGCTATAAATGGTGTTGTTTGTATAATTTTAATTTCTAATGCTCTTTTGCTGCTTTCCAGAAATAGAAGTTATCTTTTTATGTTAAAATTGTATTTTGAAAACTCAGTAAACATGCTTATTAGTCCTTCTTCCATCAAATCAATGCCCTTCTGGGACCAGGTCAGAAGATAATCAGGAAGGTAAAAATAGCCCTTTAGGGGATTCTAAATTTTTTTTTTCTCCAGTATCTACCATTTCTTCATGAAAGTCAACATGTCAAGAGATAGAATACTATTTGGCCATTAACACAGGCTAAATAAGAAACTGAATCAAAATAAGCCAGTTCAGGACCAAGAGGCCCTAGAGAAACCCACTACTTCAAATAAAGTCAGTAAGTATAGAGGGAGGGACAGAGACCTCAAAAGTATCCACTGTCTCCAGAAGCCTAAAATGATCAGCAATGTAGAGACTGAATCATACAACAACAAAATGCATAAATGCTAATGATTAAAATAAAAATAAATGAGTTTTAAAAAGACCCTCATTTTAGGGAATATATGTGTTTCCTTGTGAATTCTCTGATGGTGGGAAAGGAGGGCAATAAGGGAGTAGGCAGGCATATGACAAGGGAGTAAAGTGGAGTTCTGCAGGGTGCCGACCTCACCAGTAGGTCCACAATGAGCTAGACATGAGGGATTAGTAGGTGAAGACTAAGTGCTGAAGACAAATTTTCTCCTAAATATCAATACACAGGCAAGAATGTATTATTTCTGCCTGTGTTCAGGGTGACGGGTGACATCAGTGTCTAGTTTGCTAGAACTCAGATGGGAAGTGCTAATTTGAAACATATAGATATATATGTGTGTATGCATATATACACATATATATTTGTGTATGTGTATATATACATATATACACATATATATTTGTGTATGTGTATATATACATATATACAGTTCAAGTTAGCATATTTATGTCTAATTTTTTGGTCATTGTACAGGGAATTCTATTTGAATAACTGTTGGACTGCTGGGCCACGATACAAGCTGATGCAGCTACCTCTACTTCTTTCTAAAATAGTTTCTTAATGACGTGGAATTGTTGGTGTGTTAGAGCCAGCTTCAGGTGCACTTCCACTCACAATCTCTGTAGTAATGTGTCACACAAATACCCCTGCTTTTAAACATTAGCTTATTAAAAAAAGAAAGCACAGTGAATATAGACAAAGAACAATTTAATTTTTCACAGTTCTGCCATTTTCGGCAACCAAATATTTTGATTTTATGTCTAGATTGGAAACGACGTGTGAACTGCAAGGTATAACATTTTTGAAGGAGAATGGAAATTTTATTATATTTGACTGTAGAATATTCTAATGAATTTGAAAAATCTTTAAAAGTGCACTTATAATTTTAAATCCAGAACTTAAAATATTACATTTGTTTTATGATTTAGTGGTTGCCTTAGTCGTACTGCTTGTATACTGTTTGGTTTCCTTAAAAATTTCTTGTTTTTACTTTTATATTTATACATAAAGTAGTTAATAAAAGACTTATAATGTTTTCTGATTATTTCTTTAAATTCTTATTACTAATTACTAATTTTTTATATTGAAGAGGGTGTGTTTTAAAAAGTACCTTTCCAGAGGCCAAATACACTTAGGCCACTGGAGTGGGGTATTTTATTGCCTAAAATCCTTCATAATTAGGCCCCAAGTAGCTGGTGTGTTTTTTTTTTCTCTTGTTTGTTCTCTTCATTTTAAATAGTTTTACTGAGGTAGAATTGACCTACAATAAGCCACACATCTTTACATTTTACACTTAATTAGTTTTGATATATGTGTGTGCCCATTAAAACCATCACCACAATCAAAATAGGAAATATTTTCATTGCTCTTAAAAGTTTCCTTTTTCCCTTTGCAATCACTCACTCCTCCCTATGTTCATCCCTAGGTAACTATTGATGTCTTCTGTCACTACAGTTTACCTTTTCTATATGTTAAATGACTGTATCATCATACTGTATATACGCTTTTATCTCCGTGGTCTTTTATGTCTAACTTCCTTCAATCAGCATAATTTTGATATGTATTCCTGTTGTTGCATATATCAATATTTCATTCCTTTTTATTGCTGAGTAGTAGTATTACATTAAGAGGATATGCCAAATTTGTTCGTTCCTTTTCCTGTTGAGCATGTAACTTGTTGCCATTTTTTGGCTATTACAAATAAAGCTGTTTTTAAAAAAATTATACAAGTCTTTGAGTGGATATATGCATTCATATATATTGGTATTGGTATTCATAAATACCAAGAGTGGAATATCTGGACTGTAAGGTAGATGTACGTTTCACTTTACTAGAAAATGCCAAACTCTTTTCCAAAGTCATTGTAGTGTTTTAATTTTCTACCAGCAGTGTGTGAAGGTTTCAGTTCCACCAAATCTTCACCATACTTGATATAGTCGATTTTTTAAATCTTAAGTGTTCTCATAAATTTATCATGGTTTCACATTGTGATTTTAATCTGTATTTCCATAATGACTAGTAATGTTAAACATCTTTATAGTCCATGGGCTTATAAGCCATCCCTGTATCTCCCTGTTGTGCTTGTTCAACTTGTTATTTCCCTCTTTAAATTAGGTTGTTGTCTTTAATATATTTTGACAGATTTAACCCTAAGTATTTTGCATGACAGATGTTATTGTAAATGGTACTTTTTAATCATCAAAGTCTGACTGAATTTATATGTGGAAATAGAACTAATTTTGTGTATGGATTCTGTATTCTACATGTTTGTTCATCTCACTGGTACTAGTAACATATTTGTGGATTTCATCAGATTTTTCTACATAGGTGATTGTGGAATCTGCGCATAAGTGCAATTTAGTTCATTTTTTTCCAAACTGGATACCTTTTACATATTTTTCTAGTCTGATTTAATGGTCAGAACTTTACTACACTATTGAATACAAGTGTCAAGAGTGGACATTTTTGTCATGTTTTCAATCATATTGGGGAAGCTTTCAGTCTTTGACGATTAAGCAAAATCTCATAATTGTAGGAGATTTTTAAATTTTATTTTTATAACTTCCATTTAACTGGGTGAGGAAGGTCCCTTCTAGTTCTAATTTGCAGAGAGCTTTTATCAGAAACAGTTGTTAAAAATTTTAATAATTTTCTGCGTCTATTAAGATGATCATATTTTTTTTTCTTTTTTAATACAGGGGATTACATTGACTGATTTTTAAATGTTTAACTGTATTCCTTAGACAAACCCCACAAAGTCATATTGTATTTCTCTTTATATATATATATTGTTAGATTTATTTCCCATTGTCTTGTGGATGGAATTTTATAAGTATGTTAATAAGGAATATCTCTTTCTATTCATTATAATTTTTTAATGTTTTTGTATTGGGTAATTCTGGACTTATAGAATAAGTAGGGGTGTGTTCCCTCTTCATAAGTTTATATAAAACTAGATATTATTTCTTAAATATTTGATATATTTATCCATTGACATTTCGTGGCCTGATTTAACTTCAGACTTTTGTAGGCACTGTGTCTCTGGCCTCTGAGTTGGGGCCTTCTCAATGGTGCTGAACTTGTAAAAGCCTCCTAATGGTTTCAGGCAGGATGAAATCCTGCTTCTCCTCAGGACTAGAGTTTGTGTTTTCTGTTTTGTTACCGCAGCTGTAATGCAACCTGTGCTCTCAGAACAATGAGCTTTTTGCACTTCCACCAGCAGTTTAAGACTTTTATTTTTTAGGAGATGTAGGGGAAAAAAGGCCCTTACAGAAATATGTACCTTTTCCTAAATGGCTGTTTTTCTCCACTCAAGGCCTCTAAGAAGACAGAGGCTTTCTCTGAATTCTAGCCCTTCCCTAATTCGTTCTACAATCACCTAGAGAGGTTCATGGAGAAGGCTTTGCAATTGGGTCTGAATTTTCATTACATCTGCAGATACCAGGAGTTACATATTTTCATGATAAATAATAGCTGTATTTTCATTATAGTTCATGAATCTAGCATCTACCCCAGGTAAGTAGTGATCACAGCTCATCTCATCTTGGAGGGGCCTGTCCTTACTTAGATTTGGTTTAGTTGTTTCTCTCTTTTTTTTTTTTTAGATGGAGTTTCACTGTTGTTACCCAGACTGGAGTGCAATGGCATGATCTCGGCTCACCACAACCTCCACCTTCTGGGTTCAAGCAATTCTCCTGCCTCAGCCTCCCGAGTAGCTGGGACTACAGGCATGCACCACCATGCCCAGTTAATTTTTGTATTTTTAGTAGAGACGGGGTTTCACCTTGTTGACCAGGATAGTCTCAATCTCTTGACCTCGTGATCCACCCGCCTCGGCCTCCCTAGTTGCTGGGATTATAGGCGTGAGCCATCTCTCTTGCATCCTTACTGTTCTGATGGGCTCAAGGGAAGTGACTTTCTAGATTTTCTAGCATTTTAAGGACTGAGAAATGCACTTCCTAGCTTTCTGCACCCTAAGCAGAAGATGGAAATCTATCCGTTTTTTACATCAGATAGTATTGCATTATAATCATATGTGTGTTAGTGTAGATTTATATGTACACACATATGTAAATATATATCAGTCTCTAGTAGGCTGCAGTAAAGTCAGCAAAAACAACCACTGGTATATTTACTTCTTCCCATAATTCTATCACTTGTGCTTGATGCATTTTGTACTTACATTTTAGTTTCAAATTGTAGTATCTTCTTTATCTGTTGTGTTTTTTTTTGCTAGTACATACTTTCCTTCTTTGTCCTTTATTTTAACTTCACGTATTATTTATCAGACAGAAAATCAGTTGCCCTAATTTACATTACTATCAACAGTGTGTGAGGGTTCTTTTTCTCCACATCATTACCAGCATTTGTTATTGCCTGTTTTTTGGATAAAGGCCATTTTAACTGGAGTGAGATGATATCTCACTGTAGTTTTGATTTACATTTCCCTGATGGTCAATGATATTTATCACCTTTTCATATGCCTGCTTGGCATTTGTATATCTTCTTTTGAGAAATGTCTATTCAAATGTTTTGCCCATTTTTTAAATTGAATTATTGGAATTTTTTCTATAGAGTTGTTTGAGCTTCTTGTATATTCTGGTTATAAATGTCTTGTCAGAGGGGTACTTTGAAAATATTTTCCCCATGATGTAGGTGGCCTCTTCGCTTTGTTGATTGTTTTCATTGCTGTGGAGTGGAGAAACTTGTAACATGATGTGATTTCATCTGTCCATTATTTCTTTGGTTGCCTCTGCTTGTAAGGTATCAGTCAAGAACTTCTGGCCTAGACCAATGTCCTCGAGTTTCCCCAGTGTTTTCTTGTATGAATTTCATAGTCTGTTATCTTAGATTTAAATCTTCAATCCATTTTGAATTTATTTTTATATATGGTGAGAGATAGCAGTGTAGTTTCCTTCTTGTGCATATGGATATCCAGTTTTCCAGCACCATTGACAGACGACACTGTCTTTTACCCAGTGTATAGTTTTTGGTATCTTCATCAAAAATGAGTTTGCTGTAGGTGTGTGAATTTGTTTCTGGGTTCTTTATTCTTTTCCACTGGTATATGTGTCTGTTTAATGCCAGTACCATGTTGTTTTGGTTCCCATAGCTTGGTAGTATAATTTGAAGTCAAGTAATGTGATTCATGCATTTTTTTTGTTTTTCTTTTTTAAATTTTTGCTTAGATTATTTATGGCTATTCTTACCCTTTTGTGATTCCAAGAAAATTCCAGGGTTTATTTTTTTATTTCTGTGAAGAATGTCATTTGTATTTTGATGAGGATTACATTGGATAGGTAGATGTCTTTGTGTAGTATAGACATTTTAACAGTATTGATTCTTCCAAACCATGGACATGAAATATTATTTCAACTTTTTTAGTGATCTCTTTAATTTTTTGTATCAGTGTTTTACAGTTTTAATTATAGAAATCTTTCACTTCTTTGTTTAAATTAATTCCTAGGTACTTAATTTTATGTATGGTTATTGTAAATTGAATTGCTTTTTAAATTTCTTTTTCACATTGTTCACTCTTGGCATATAGAGATGCTACAGAATGATATCCTGTCATTTGCAATAGCATGGACAGAACTGGAAGCCATTATGTTAACTGAAATAAGCCAGCCACAGAAAGAAAAACTTCACATGTTCTCACTCATTTGTGGGAGCTACAGGTTAAAACAGTTGAACTCACAGAGATACAGAGAAGAAAGATTATTACCAGAGATGGGTAGAAGAGAAGTGGGGAAACGGGGATGTTTAATGGGTACAAAAAAATAGTTATGCACAATGTGTAAGACAGCACAATAGAGTGTCTATAGACAGCAATAATTTGTTGTGCATTTTAGATTAACTGAGGAATACAATTGGAATGCTTGAGGTGATGGATATCCCATTTATATGGATATGATTATTACATATTGTATCCCTGTATCAAAATATTTCATGTACCACATAAATAGATACACCTATATACCCATGAAAATTAAGAAAATAAATTTTAAAACACACAAAAAATGTACTTAGTACTAAATCTGATCTTTCACTTTATTCTGACAACAATCCTTGTACTTAACTGTTGTACATTATAGTGTGTACATAACAATGGTCTATCATCCCTTTCTTTTTTCTGACTGCACTCTCAGAATCTCCATGACAAGGACCATGTTTCTATGTTCCTAGTATCTAATGTAGTTCTTAGTCCTGATAAGGTGTTCATTAATTGTTCAGCAGAACTAACATAAAATAGCATTAACTTTTGAGAATTCTATTTCTTCTTTGTATCTAGGCTGTGCAGCACTGGACGGGTCCAAGATTTACTGTGGCAGGAAAATAGCAACCTCCAAAAGCCACAAGCTGATGGACAAACCTCTGAACCATCGCTTAATTTATTTGTAATCTAGTCTTCATCAAAATGCACTGAGCAGATTTCTTATACTCTTTAATTGTTCCCCACAATGTCTATAAGATTAAGTTTGAGATTTCTGTCATTGCAAATGAGCATAGTAAAAAAAAATTATCTGGAACAAGGAGTGTTATTCAGACCAATTAATTATAACCAAAGAAAATAATATATTTCATAATATTCCTGCTGATCCCATTGAAGGAACCATTTATTTCCAAATTATGTTGTAAAATTCTGGTATGAATGAGATTATTTTAAAAGAAAATTTAATAATGCTTCAGAAGGCAACATA